TATTTTGCTTATATTTTATTTTGCTTCGCTTTCGATTACAAAAACAATTCTTTACAACTATCATCAACTCCTTCAGGCATCTTATCCTCGCCGATCGGCTTTTGTAACATTACTTTATAACTTGAACACTAACAAAGCTTCTATCTCTTGCAATTCTTTTCGCTTTACATAAACTAAGAGGTGCAGAGTTTCCACAATTCAACGCAGCTTCTATTTGTTCCATTGCTCCAGGGAAATTTACGCGTCCCGTATTAATGGCGGAGTCGTAAGTGCTCTTGGTCTGTAAATAATAGAAAAACATTTCATTTGCACATGTACAATTTCAATAATGGTCCCCACACAAGCCATCGTTATACGCTGTTGCTGTTGCAGATGACGATATTCGCCGATAAAGTCGGACGGCTTTTTACCTTATTCATTTTTTTCGCTGCTTACACATGAGAGCCTGCCTAGATGTATGCATTCTCTCCGATAATAATTAAATTCTCCGAGAATTCTCGGAAAACGAATTTTGAAGAAAATGGATGTAAATGAAACGACCAAATCTCTATGAAGCCATGGAACATATAGAAGCAGTTTAGAAGCGCGAAAACTCGGCACCTATTAGTTTATGCAGCGCTTAATTGAGAACGAGGCGAAGACAAATTTTCAATTAATACTAATAAACTGTTTCTTTGTTAAATTGAATTTCTTTTTTATAATTTGACATTTACTGCAAAGAATACTTAACTAAAAGATTTTAGTTTGTCAAAGTTCAGTTTTCGAGCTTCAACAACATGCATCTAAACAAAAGTGAACACTATAGCGTAACAAGGTCGAACAAGGCCGACCATTAGACACCCTACACCACTTTGGCTCCTACAACTATTCAGTCGTTTCGGCAACAATGCACCAAAAATGACACATTATTTTCATGCAAAGGCATACCTTTTATAAAAGCCCGTATATTGGAGGGTGTCCAAAACACCGCATGGTATTACCCAAATTTAGCAAACTTAATTTACATCATAAAAATTTTATAATTGTTCAGTTTTCTTCATAGAGAAGCAATAGATTACCTTTCTCTCCATATAAGGGCTTGCCTTTCACGACAACAACTACATGTTAGGGTCTAAATGATAGACCTATGTGATCCAAGTTCACTACTGTTACTTTTTTTGAGTTGCTACTATGAACCAATTTTCATGATGATATATTAAAAATTAAATCCTTTTCTGAACGGCTGGGGCTATTTATGAGAAATCTTATACGGAGTAAGGTTCAAATTTGGTCCACTTATTTTTATGACAAACTACTATCATGAACAAATTTTTATTATAGAGCAATAGCAATCAAGCGTGTATATTTCCTGAGAAGCCTTACATGCAATGGTATCCAAAGAATAGACCGTAGAGGTCTAAATTCGATATGGTTTGTCCGGCAATTTACTATTATACCAATTTTCGTCTTTAAATATTGAAAATTAGATCTTTTCACTATGTAAAGATTCACTTTCGTAGGATCGGTTATAAGAAAAAAGCCTCAGCCGGAATAAGTTTATCACAACAATTTAAAATCTCATAATGTTATTAGTTATCGATTTTAGACGAGAAATTTTGACTATTGCAGCGAAGTGAAGCAAAAGAAGAAAGAAGAAAAAGTGAACCGATTCGAACCACTTTCACTAGCGTTCGTCGTTGGATCGAAGCACGTCAGTGTACAAAATTTCATCAAAGTATATTGCGGCCTGTAGGTTGCACACAAAAAAATACGGACGGCCATAAAGTGGACGCACATACAAGCTCATAATTCATACTCGATCAGCTTATGATCCTTATAAATGTCGTCATAAACTTTCATCTCTAAGTAACTTCATTGAAATTTGTACAATGCAAGATAAAAACTTGAAGTTTTTATATGTGGATTCTTCATCGCATTCTACAAGCCAGTTTTGACGTGATCCAGTTTTCGCTTGCTCACAATTTATAAAAAGCTTAAGAAATTGAATATAAGAAGCAAGTAAAAGCATTATAGCGGGTAAATGCCGACCGTTAAATACGCTACACCGTTCCACAATTATTCATATAAAGACTTTTCAAAATACGGCCTTTCAATAGCGTTCGTCCTTGGGACAAAATGCGTCAGTATATTAAAATTTCATCAATATATTTTAAAAATTGCGCCCCGTTGATTGAACACAGGAAACCAAGGCGAACAGACAACTAAACAAACTTTCCGATCGAATTTCACGCTATTTGCCCGTCTGTCTGGCTGATATCCAGCGTTGTACGTTCTTTCCATGAACCGATCACGAATCGGTTACACTGAAAAGAAATATTATATATATTCAAAATCTCCAAAGTTGCGCAAAACCCTACCTTCAATCGTACAACCAGCCTTTCACACTCGTCACGCTTCAGAGCAACTGCTTTAACTTTAGTTTAACTCTCGGAAAAAGATTTTCCCTTGCGATTATTTTTAATAATTTGGGTTAAAAGAGTTTTAACCGCTTTAATTATATCTCGAATATAAAAATAAGAATTTTATGGTAGCATTAAACTAAATCGAACAAAATTAAAGTCACGCGTGGGCAATTAGCACTTATATGAATTTTTGTTTGGCAATTAACCAAGCGGTAAAAGCTTTTTTTTGTTTTCGCAAAAATGTTTTTTTATCACTACGCAAATTAACCGAAATTGAACTATGAGCGATAACATGCTGAACTTAGAATTACAATAAGTATAATATAAGTAATCTGATATTTGGTAAAACACATTAATGGCAGGAATTTAATTAATGATATCGGAAAATTTGTAAACTTACACTATTTAACAATGGAACATTGCGCTTATTTTAAATTTTATTCTTATATTTCTTTTCACGCTTCATTTCCGTTTGTGTTACAATTTTGAAGAACATTCAAGTCAATGTATGCAGTTTACAGTACATAGTCTCTAGCCTACATCATTCGCAATCGCTTACGAGCAGCTTACAGGAGATGATATATTTTGCAAGCCTACCAGAAACTTGGCAAATCAAGTTTTTTTGTTGAGAAATCAAGGATTTTCGAAATTTTTAAAAATGTAAAGAATTACTTAAGAAGGGAAAATATGAATATTGTACATCAATACCGATTGCAACCGCGACATTCGAGCAGAGCACTAAGGCAGAGATACCTATAAAATAAGTAAGTATATTACATCCTACACCACTCGGCCAACTACAGTTATTCTCTCGTTTTCGTAATGACGCCAATAACTACACATTGTTCTCATGCAAACGCGCACTTTTCATGAAAGCCTGCTTATTAGAGGATAGTCAAAATTTAGCAATCTTATTTTTTTCTCATCAATATTTTTATATTTTAATTTCCGTCATATTAAACTGGAAATTACACGTTCGCTCCATGCTTTTCATAATAATCGCTATTATATATTAGTGTCGAAATAATAGACTTACGCGATCCAAACTACCTAGCGCTAGTTTTTTTAATAAATAGTTGCTATGGACCAATTCTCATCATAATATATTAAAGATAAACAACTTTTCTGAAAGACTCTTACTATTTATGAATAATGTTATATGGAGTGGGGTCCAAGAAATAAGACCATTTGGTTCAAATTTGGTCTACCTAATTTTCATGTCAAATTACTATCCTGAACAGATTTTCATCATAGAGCATTAACAATTGACCCTCTTTGGCCTATTAAGGTACACATTTCCTGTGAATCCTTACATGCGGTGGTATCTTAAAAATAGACCAACGTGGTCCAAATTCGTTAGGGTCGATTTTTTTATCAATTTACTATTGTAAACCAATTTTCACCAGATAACATTAAAAGTAAGATCTTTTTAAGGATTCAATTTCTTTAGGAACGGGTATATGACAACGGACTCAAAAAATTCCCTCAGGCGAATCAAATTTTTCACAACAAAAAAATGTTATTACTTACTATAAAGTAAGTTTTGATTTTGAATCGACCGGCATAATAAAAGTTGGGTCTCTCGTACCACAAATGGTGCAATGTATAGAAAACGATTAAGATATTTCCGCAAGGAAATAATACTTGTGATCATCTCAGTAAGTGTTACTCTTGGACAAAAAATTATCAACAATAAGCATATGAGATGATTTACAATATGTCAAGAAAATGTACGCACACATCACACTCTGCGGCTGATCAGTTTACAGTAACCGAACTGCTTAGTACCTCATTTCTCTCGAAGGCATAAAAAAGTATCGCAGTCCCCACAATTTTCATTACAATCGAATTGAATCGTTTATTCATCCATAAATATGGCAACAATTTATCATTTGTATTATGCAATGTTTTGATTAGGATGTACTTTTGTTATATTATAAGCTTTCATTTATATGGTTTGCGTGTTCGTCGCATAAAAATTGACAAATCGACAATTGCGACTGATGATGTTCAATTTTTGTATCAGCTTTGGTTCTGGCGCCAATACAATGCAAGAGAGTCAATTCTTCTTCGTACATTCAGAATAGAGGCCGCGAGAAAGTGCGGATTACATTTTTGCTAACAACCCGCTTGATATGAGTATCAAGTACAAGGAAGTGAAGCGTAGAATACAGCAATGTAATTGCATTTATTTCAATTTTGTTTTCCTAACAATCCCCTCGATAGTTCTAAATTAAATATGATGGACGACTTGTCGAATTAATTTTGTAATGAGCCCTGATATCAATGAATTACAAGATGAAATATAAAGGTATCTCCTAGGGCCGCTTTCATGCAATTACAAATATTTCAAAAATTTGAAGCGTTCAATAAATACAGAATTTTATGTCCGTTAAAATCTTCGCTTCAAGCTTTCATCTACAATGAAATAAAAGTAATCCCGACAAGAAATTGATTTTCTAGGTCAAAAGGAGGACTTGTTCATAAAACAGTTAACAAAACGAGAAGGACGCAACAAGAAAATAGATAAACAAAATTCAAAAGGTTACATAAAATTGTAAAGTTTAGAAAAATTTTACAAATAGACTTACGGTATACCTTTGCTTGATTGTTTTTTAGTTATTGCTCTCCACAATTTTTGTTCATTATATTTAATAAGTTTTTTTTAGTTAATTTACGACACACGTATATTTTAAAATGTATTTTCTAGAACGTTAACCAACATTAACATATTTTATCTTTGCTGCTATGATCGATGTTAACCAACAGTGGCATCGCTTTTGAATAATAATCGTTACATTATTATCTACAAGTAGTATGCATACGCGTTTGAGGTACATTATTCGGGTTAGAAAAAATCTTTTTTTGTCGGTAAAATATTCACATGAAAAAAGTTTAATTGTTTTTGTAGATTCTTAAGGATCACTAGTTTCATTTTTATTAATATATTAAATATTTGCTCACACTGCATACATTCCTAAGATTTGAAAGAACTGAAAATTCTTTTTATTAGGAAACCATATAGCACGACATTTTACACATTACTTTTATATGACTATATGTCTTGCGATTTTACGAGTTTCAACTTTTTTTATATAACTTTCAAAAAGAAAAATTTTTTTTTTTTTTTATTAAGCAATCACTTCGTTTTTATGTAGACATATTTAGGTAAAGGGAAACACTGTATTTTTAATTTTGTTTTTATTATCATTTAGAGCTTTTCTCAAGCTCTTAAGAGATCATCCACTAACTTTAGTCTTTTCCTTTCCTTTCAATAATAAAGTATTTTTTATTTCTTTGTTTTTGTAATTAACAATTCTTAGCTCGCTAGTATTTGAGAAGAGAGGAGACCATTGTTGGCCGTCTTTTTCTCTCCATTTTTAATAATCAGCTTGCAATCTGTACGGGATTGCATTATAATTTTTATGTTGAATGACTATAACATTCTTCGTGTGTATTATGTGCGCTTGCTTATGTGAGTTATTATCAAGCGATTTTTTGTTTGATGCAAATAAATTTGTAATAAGTGGCCCTCTCTTACTCTCCCAGCACTTTTAATAGTTTTTTTTTTTCTTGTATGCATTCACTTGATAATTATTTTCGTCATGAAATTTTAAACTTTTTGTTTTTAATATAATATAATAGAAAATGAATTTGTATTTTATTTTAAAAAATTTGCATGTATTTAGATTTTCGCGAACTTTTTCGTATATCGCGCACGTATACAATATTAGTGATAGGATTTTATTTCGTTAACCAGCACTACACTGTAGAAAGGAATGAGTTGAACCGTTATTTTTTACAATATTTTTGCTTAATAGCAACACTTTTGAGCACTGAATCGATTGCCTCGTTGCAATTTCATTGATTTAAAAAACAAAATTACCGTTATTTAATATATATTCATACGTTTCTCTTCAGCGAACATTTCTCCGGCATTCATTTACTATCAACAAATGCTGTTTTTCTTTTCTTTTGAAATGTATAAACAAACCGTTATTCATTATTTACACATCGTTAAACAACTTAAAACCAACACACATGCTCTTCAAAGTTTTGAAAAAAAAAAAAAATAACAGCAAAACAAATTTCTTAATTTAAGAGAATTTTTTTAGAGCGTGACCGCAAACAATTTAAATGTTTGCATTAAATGCGCCAGTTTGTCTATCTGCTTGCAATAGAGTAAAAACAATAACGATTTTTTTCTTTTCTTTTTTTTTTATTGTTTTTATCTTCATTATATGTTATACATGAATCAAAAATATATTATAACCGACTATAGGCCTTATTGTGAAAAATAGAAGACATATATATATATATACGTTAAAAAAAAACATGTGTGTTCCTATTAACAGCTTTACCCTATAGTCACTCACTATTTTATATATGCTAATATGTGCCGACGGTCGTGATACATGTTGCTTCAATATCAATGAAGAAGAAGATTTTTAAAATTTCTTCCTTAAATATACAAAAATTGTTTTCAAAACCTTTGCTTGAAAATGCTGACTAAGAGCATGTAAAATGTAATGAAGCTACTGCTTTTAATAGTATCGTGAAAGGTTTTTGAAAACCTTCATTGTAGAGATACTGAGTTCGAAGAAGATATCTCCTATTCGGATGTGACAATTGTTGCTCACGTCAATCGGAATCAAAGCTTCAAACGACTCTGATCGGCATATGATGAACATAAAATCTAAATATCGACTCATTAATCGTTTCGGCACTTCATGCCTTTAAAACTTATATAGAGAGAATTGCAATTTTTGAAAACCTCCCTGTATTATTATAAAACTAGATGTGCGATCAAAACGTTTGCAAACTGCACCTTCAGAAGTTCGAATAAATGAACTTATGCCGTTCTCGTAACAAAGTTCAAATTGGGATATAGCTTTGATAATGTTCCATTACCGCGTAGATGAACTGAATGAAATATCACTGCTATATGTGACGACGCTGATGATCAACCGAATTTATCGATTGATCTTTTAAACGTGCCGTGTTCACACTCCCAATTCGGAATTTCTCGCTTCAAAAAGAACGCAAACCACAAAACTAGACTCAAAGCAAGAGACAAGAGTTCGACTACTCAGCAAAAAAGCAAAGTTATTGCAATCGAGTTTATGGTGAGTGTTGTCCTCTCTTCTCTTCTCTACATTTTGCCCTAAACGCGCTCTCTGCAAAGTTACAATGGTAGTAACAAGTGAATATCATCACAGTATTTTGTTTCTTTAAAACAACGAAACAAACAAAGTAGGAGGAATATGAAATCAGTATATGAAAACAGCACAGAATTTTTTAGACTACGTCGACGGTAATAATGGAATAGTTAATCTGCAAATGCTTGAACAAGATTCAGTTTTCGGTGCGGTGCAGTTAATTAAATTGTTTGATTTATTCACTCGGGGAGTTCCACAAAAATGCCAAATACTTGAGTTGGATCGCGCTCAATGAATGTTTGGCTGCAATCTTGAGCTAATAATAGCCAAACTTGGCAAGCTCGCGGTACGTATTCAATTCAGAGAGTCTTTGCTTTCTTTCTACTTGTTTTCACACCTGATGTCTTCACGGGCTGTTTCTTCTCACAAGAAAGACAAGTGTATGCTGCTGAAGCTTCTCTCCCTTTCTCTCTCTCTCTCTCTCTTTTTGTTTTTCTCTACAATCTTCAATAAGAATATAACCGTCTTTCTTCGTTTATATATCACGAAACGTGTTGTACAAGAAGCAACTTATTCAGTACATAAATACTATGACAGGTTATTGTTGAAAGATAATTAGGGAAAAGAAAAATTTCTAACTCCTCCGGCATTTCAGTTAACATAAATTGTTGAAGAGCGGGTTAAGCTCAACAAACAAATAAAAATTTAAGAATCGTTTCTTAATTATGCCATAAGCGAAACCTAGGCTTAAAATCCCAAGCCACGGCAATAAATTACGGAGGGCGGATGTTCAGCTTCAAAGCATGCAAAAATCGTAAGGACCAACTAAAAATCCGGCTAATTATATCTGTAAAGTAGTAAAACAACAACTTTTGATTATTTACGAACACTCTTGTGCACAATGAATGGAAATCGTCATTAGATGAGATATATTTCAGTAAAAAAAAAGACTATGCACCGGATCAGATCAATATTGTAGCGTATTGCCCAATTGAAAGAGAGAGACACTTCCAGTTGCTAGGCAGCTAAATAACACAACGGCCAACAAGCACTTAAACTAGCATATGAAAGCCGTGCCTAGCAAAAAATCGATTTTATTTTCAAAAAGTTCCGACCTTCAAACGGCACCTGCCGCATTTTGATGTCATTTCGATCATTTGCTAATGAGTTTGAGTGATTTGAATGACACTACTTACGTGATTTTCAAAACAATGGGTAAATTCTGAATTTCGTGCGTGTAATTAAATGTCGCGTTCTGATGGAGAAAAATTACCATTCAAGCTCGGCATTAATTTGAAATGTTTTATAGCAATTCTTGTCGAAATAAGTAACTTATTGAAAAAAAGAAAAACAAAAGAATCGCGATGATCGGTTTCTAATAACCTGAAAATAGAGTTTTAAGAGATAGCCGTTGTCAGAAAACTGTTCCTGAAACGTGTTCAAATTCGAATTGCTGCTTGCATTTACCGCATTTTCCAGATCTGATCCCTAGCCATTATTATTGTATGTTCAAATCTCAAAAGCATGATTCAGAGAAACAGATTTGAATCTAGTAATGAGGTCATTGCAGGAACTGAAGCCTGTTTTGGGGATCTGGACTAATCGGTCCTTCGAAATAGATATCGAAATGTTGAAGAAACTTTGGATTAATTATGTCGTTCTCGAAAGAGCTCATACTAATGAATGAAGTCCTATTTTGCAAAAAAAAGGAAACAATATCGATTTTGTTCTTACTTCCCCCCGGAATTACAGACCGATGTATTACATACTGGTACGAGACAGCGGGAATTGTTTCCAATGTTTTAAAAATTCTTACGTAACAGTGTAAGCGTAAAAAATTGCTTATTTTAGAACGGAGAATATAATAAAGGAGTTGTTTGACAATTGTCCGCAAACTTTTCGATTATTGGATTGGATAACTTTTGTTTGTACCGACCACCTTAGACTAGGTATATCGCGAAATTATTAATCGCTCCTTTACATCCAGCGATTGCTTAAGAGACCTTATAAAATATATATTCTTGATCTAGGTAAGTTTTAAATTAGCAATCGGGCATATTTCGCCTACAATACACAGAAATCAAATAGGAAACTATTACCTATGACAGTTATCGGTACGGAATTTATTGAGATGGCAGCTGGCAGAGGAAATTGTATACAAAATTGTATACAAAAAATGGTCTCGATCGATATCGTTGCCGCTTCACAATAAACAAGATGCACTCAAATTTTGACACCCTACCCCCCTTGTCGTATATTGTGGAAGTAAGCAGCACCAAGAAGCGTTTAAGATAAAGCCCCTTTTTATTTTGTATTAGCTTAAGATCGTAGGCATCTGATGAATACAACTTCCCTACTTGCTATTATATGAAAGGCAATCAGTATCGGTATTATAATAGTTATTTACATGATAAGCATGTTGCAGGGGCAATGAAAGGCGTGCAGGTCTATTTACTGCCAAGCCAGCTAACTCGTAATAGCTTGTAATTGCAAGATTTAAAAAGAAGACAACAGTTTGCAAAATTCTGAAAACATATCTGATGTAAAATAAATCCATACTTCCTAGATAGACTATATAAATAAACTTTTCCATCTGTTGTACTGAAATGTATAATTTTTGCTTCTTTGCCTTCGAAAAAATATTTGCAATAAATTTTATTTATTTGAAGCTTAAAAAAGAGAGCTCGTTTTAAATGAATTTCTTGTTTTCTTCAATTTCTTTTTTTTTTTTTTTTTTTTTTTTAATTTTTAAAACACAATTATCAGCAACTAAACACACTACCATCACAACTCATTGACGTCACGTAAATTTTTTTTCATTTTTTATTAATCATTTTTTAATTGTGGTCTGGCGACATTTAAACGTTTTAATATATGTTTTAAAAATATGCCACACAATATAGAACCACTAGAATTATGAAATAATTTTTTGTTTATTTCGTACTAAGACTTAGTCGTTGATCGGCAAACCAGTTAAAAAAAAGAAAAAGGACAAGATTGAAAAGAAAAAAAGAACAGAGAACAACACCAGTAACGACTATTAACAAACGAAAAAAAAAGAAAATCTTCAAAAATTCACTCTAGGCCAAGCACAATACTATACAACAATAGCAGCAACGAAAAGAAAAAATAACAAGTTTTTTAAAAAAGTCACCCGGCGTAGTGCTACTGATGTAAAAACAAGTGTTAACGAAAACTCAGAATTTTTGACTATAGCTCGGACATCATTAGCGGTAGCATCGGCAACCGTATTGAACGTTATACATATACGTATATATCACACATACGCAAAAGTTTACGCTTCACAAACGTACGCGAAAAGCCCTACCGTTTAGTTCTTGTTTTTCCATACACATATATATATATATATATATGTATATATATATATATACATATATATGTATATATACATATTATATGGTGTGTTGTGTTAATGTTTCACCGCTCAGCACACGATCACTACTGTTCGCATTGTGCAAAAATAAAGAGTGTTTTAAGCTGCACTAATCCGATCTCATTTATTTATTTTTATTATTTTGTTTCTTTTTTGCTTTCAATTTTTTCTTTTTTTTTACACCGAGAGAAAACTTAAAGCTTTATACAATTTTCCGATAATTTTAAAATAATTTTTTTTGCATATATTTTCGTTTATTTTCATTTTTCATGCGATAACAATCCCATAAAACGTGCATTGACTTATTTCTCAAGTACTTCTTAATAAAAAATAAAAAAAATAAAAACAGCAACAACAATAACAGCAGATTCTGTGTTCAGTCAGTTTGTGCGCTTTTCACACAATATCTCAACAAACAATTAAATATTTCATATTACCTTCCATAGAAACATCCTATTATTCTCACTAAAAAATCTTTCTCAAGATTCGTCACTCGAATCATTTTTCCCATCACTTTAATATAGC